GTCAATTTCAGACTGCAGAAGTTGATAAAAATCTTCAATTTCCTCATCTTTGGTTTTGATGGTTGGGGCATAAATTTGAATAATAGTCATATTAATGGGCTTCCTTGTAGGTGTATGGATATTATTCTATCACTGACAGCATTGTACTTCAGGAAAGATTTTGAAACATCCTTTGTGATGATGAATGCCATGCCATTCCTCTTCAAACTGTCATTCCTGGCATAGTAGATCCCATGGTTGTCTGATTCAAAATCTTCCTCATCGAAGAATTGTCTCCTGAATTCTGATTCTGCTGAGTATTACATATAAAATAGTTAAACTTGGAGAAAAAATAAGGACTATCTTCCTGTGACACTCCACCAGTGTTTTGATCAAATGAACTTCAAGAGTAATCTTGAAGAAACATCAGTTGCAGCAGCTTATATTGAAGCTTTGTTATGTTTAAGTCAGATTTATTGAGGTATAATTTACATACAGTAAAATTTACCCTTTTTAGCTGTACAGTTCTGTGAGTTTTGACAAATATATAAACTGTTGTGTAATCACTGTTAAAATTAGGAGATAGAATGTTTCTGTTGTGCTGGGATTAGTTTTTAATCTTCTTTTGTTTTGTTTGTATAGTAACATGTATATAAGGTTAAATATATATATATCTTCAAATAGAATGCAATGTCATATTTCTACTAGAAGGGTTGTATTAAGTTATACTGCAGGATTTGGGTATAGTTGTGGTGCAGTGAATTACTTAATATGGCCCTTCTAGCCATGGTCTTTATGACTCCCACCAGATAACTAGGTGGAACTATGTAAATGTGAGGTGCTTATGGCCCAACTAGAGGATTGATAGCTTGTTAATATAAATAAAGTATGTGGTACTCTTGTGGGGGTGGGGCCATGCAAGTAAGGTATATGGAACACTAACGTGGGGATTGGTCAGTTTTGCCATCTCATTATGCTTAAAATGAGTGATCCCAGAGGCGAAAAAGGAGGACCTCACTGCCATCAAGGGAGAAGAAGCAGGAGTGAGCACAATCTTGGACCCAGGATCCCTGTGCAGGACATCCTTAGCAGAGAGAGACAGCAGAGAGATGGCAGTGGCAGAACTAAGAGACCAACACAAGACAGAGCATTGGCCTTGCTGGTCTAGTAGCAAGAAAGCTGAGTGCCTCCAGGCAGGATGCTTGCTGAAGGAGTGGGGTGCACCTATCAGCAGAGCTAAAAGGGCTTTGTAACCGTTGCCCAAGGAGGGAAAGGCCAGGCCAAGGGCCAAAGAGGGGTGTGGCTATGGGCATGGCCAAGGGGAGGCTATCCTAATCGAAGAATTGTTTCCTGAATTGTAACCTGTTGCTTCCCTAATAAACCCCATAATTGTGAGTATTATCTGTCTGTGAGTTCTTTGTGGCCATTTCAATTAATTATCAAACCCAGAAGAGAAATAGAATGCACCATGGGAGGAATGGTGTGGGAGGGACAGCTGCTGTCAGAATTGATAGAAAGGTTGGAGTATGCAGCTTATCTGACTTCCGCCTAGTAGGAATCAGCCTTGGCCTCCTGTTGCCTATGGTGATTTTCTCTTCCCCTTGTAAAGTTAGAGAAGGTTAGAGGACACTACCCCCATGTACTTTTTTCAGTAGTGTTTAATGATTCCTAAGGATTGTTCCCAGTCCCTGAAGCATGGACAAAATTTTAAATTAAAAAATGGCTTGTATCAATGTCTAGCAACCAAATTATGTCTGTTGTAATATTTAATGTTAATGAAGCCATTAACAGTTAAGTGTGCTTTATTTCCTGCATTATTTATTTATTAAATATTATTTAATAATATTTATTCATTATTAATTATGAATGTAGATTCTCATGGGGGACGAGATCCTAGAGAAGAACTACAAACACGGGAGCAAGTTTCTGACTTCATTTCCAGATGGCACAACTCAAATATTGTATCCTTTCTTTCAACAAGTTATTTTTATTAGCTTGCTTTCTTCACAAAAATAAAGGCAGTACAGATATATAAAGAAAAAAAAACTACTGCCCTAACATCCTACCACTCAGAAAAAAGCTGTTAACATCTTTTTATATATCTTCCCTTATTTTTTTCTGTGTCTAGGCCTATACAGAGATCTCTCTCAAACTCTCACTGCTGTCGAGTTGAATCCAACTCATAGTGGCCCCTCCTTGGGTTTCTGAGGCTATATCTCTATGAAAGTAGATTGCCCAATATGCCTTCCAAGGAGTGGCTGGTGGGTTTGAACCACCAACCTTCTGGTTAGCAGTCAAATACCTTGTTGTTGTTGTTTGCCGTCGATTCATAGCAACCCCTCCTTGGGTTTCCAAGGCAGTATCACTACGGAAGTAGATTGCCCAACTTCCCTTCTGAGGAGTGGCTAGTGGCTTTGAACCACCTTAGGCACTAAATATTGCTTTTAAAATCAGTTCTTCAATTATTTATGCATAATATTTTTCCTTCTTCACATAATAATATTATACAATATAGTTGTAAGTACATAATATGCAATAAATACAGAGACACAGTAACATTTTTATAACCAAATAATATTTCATTATTTAATTTATATCCTATTGGTGAAAAAAGGTGGTTTCAAAACTCTTTGCTATTAGACAACAGCTAAGTGAACAAATTTGTGTATACTTGTTTCCTTGAATTAAATACTAAAGGATAGACATTCTGGGAAAGAAGTTAGGGATATTGTAAAGCTTTGATAGATTTTTGCCCACTACAAAATGTATGCCAGTGTACTGATCTGTGAGCAGCATGTTATTTCAGTTGATTTTTAATACAAAAATTTGGTATACATTTTATGGAACGCTAAGTTATTGATCATTTGACTTTCTGTCTGATGGGCAGGCCATTAGGTATCTTGAGATAAATGCCTTTCAGTGTATCAAAGAAAGTAAAAATACATGAAATGAGGAGGGATTTTAGGTGAACTGAGGACCTTTCTTTGTAGAAGAAAATAATTTTTTTTATTCATAGTATCTAAATATTTAGTCAAGCTCCAATAATAAACAAACAAACAAAAAAAACCTTTCATAGCATAGGAAATGGAACGAAGTTTTTGTTCCCCAGACCCTATGAGAAAGTGTATAGATTATCTTTTAATTATATCAGTAAAGTTTAAATAAGTCACCCAACTTTTGCCCTGGGTTTAATTTTTCATAACTTTCTTGAAGGCTTTGCCTGATTTTCAAAATGATTCATAATCCATCTATGTTTACTTCATCTGTGAATTTCTGATCAGCTTGCTGTTGTTGTTAAGTGCCGTCAAGTCAGCTCTGACTCATAGAGACAGAACACTGCCCAGGCCTGCGCTAGTCTCACAGTCCTTGCTATGCCTGAGCCCATTGTTGTAGCCACCATGTCATTCCATCGAGTTGATGGCCTTCCCCTTTTTCAATGACCCTCCACTTTACCAAGCATGATATTCTTCTCCAGGGAATGGTCCCTTTTGACAACCTGACCAAAATAGGGGAGATGAAGTCTGGCCATTCTCACTTCTATGGAGCGTTCCAGCTGCACTTCTTTCAGGACAGATTTGTTTGTTCTTCTGGCAGTCCATGATACTTTCAGCACTCTTGCCAACACCACGACTAGAAAGCATCAACTTTTCTTCCAGCTTCCTTATTCATTGTCCAGCTTTCACGTGCATATGAGGCAATTGAAAACACCATGGTTTGGGTTAAAAAAAAAAAAAAAAACACCAAACTCACTGCTATCAGTAGGATCCAACTCATAGCCACCCCTCCTTGGGTTTCCAAGGCGGTACCACTACGGAAGTACAATGCCCCATCTTCCCTTCCAAGGAGTGCTGGTGGGTTTGAACCACCAGCCTTCTGGTTAGCAGTCAAATGCCTTAGTCATTATATCACTAGAGCACCTATGGCTTGGGTTAGGCCAAAGAGACATCTTTGCTCTTTAGCACGTTAAAGAGGTCTTTTGCAGCAAATTTGCCAGGTGCAATACATCATCTGATGTCTCGACTGCTGCTTCCATGGTCATTGATTGTGGAACCAAGTAATAATGAAATTTTTGATAACTTCAATCTTTTGTCCATTTATTGTGATGCTTCTTATTGGTCCAGTTGTGAGGATTTTTATTTTCTTTATGTTGAGGTGTAATCCATACTGCAGACTGTAGTCTTTGGTCTTCATCAGTAAGTGCTCCAAGTCATCCTCACTTTCAGCAAGCAAAGTTGTGTTGTCTGCATATTGCAGGTTTTTAATGAGTTCTTCCTCTAATCCTGATGCCACAGTCTTCTTCATATAGTCCAGCTTCTTGGATTATTTGCTCAGCATACAGATTGAATAAGTATGGTGAAAGGAAACAACCCTGACACACACCCTTCCTGATTTTAAACCATGCAGTTTCCCCTTGTTCTGTTTGAATGACAGCCTCCTGGTCTATGTACAGGTTCTTCATGAGCACAATCAAGTGTTCTGGAATTCCCATTCTTGTCAATGTTATCCATAATTTGTTAGCATAGACAAAGTTTAATGCTTTTGCATAGTTAATGAAACACAAGTAAACACCTTTCTGGTATTCTTTGCTTTCAGCCAAGATCCATCTGCCATCAGCAATGATATGCTTTGTTCCATATCGTCTTCTGAATCCAGCTTGCATTTCAGAAAGTGCCCTGTCTGTATATTGCTGCAACCATTTTTGAATTATCTTCAGTAAGATTTTACTTGTGTGTGATATTAATGATATTGTTTGATAATTTCTACACTCTGTGGGATCACCTTTCTTTGGAATGGGTACAAATATGGATCTCTTCCAGTCAGTTGGCCAGGTAGCTGTCTTCCAAATCTCTTGGCATAGCCGACTGAGTCCCTCCAGTGGTGCATCCGTTTGTTGAAACATCTCAATGGGTATTCCATCAAATATGGAGCCTTGTTTTTCACCAATTCTTTCAGTGCAGCTTTGACTTCTTCCTTCAATACCATTGGTTCTTGATCATATGCCACCCCCTGAAATGGATGAACATCGACCAGTTCTTTTTGGTACAATGATTCTGTGTATTCCCTCTATCTTCTTTTGATGTTTCCTGAATCATTCAATATTTTGCCCATGTTGTTGTTGTTGTTATGTACCGTTGAGTCGGACCTGACTCATAATGACCCCTCCTTGGGTTTCCAAGGCATTATCACTACGGAAGATATTGCAACTTGAGGCTTGAAAAGTTTTTTCTCCAGTTCTTTCAGCTTGAGAAATGCTGAGCATGTTCTTTCCTTTTTTCTAACTCCAGTTTTTCTAACTCCAGTTTTCTAACTCCAGCTCTTTGTACATTTCATTGTAATAACTTTGTCTTCTCAAGCTGCTGTTTGAAATCTTCTGTTCAGCTCTTTTATCTTGTCATATCTTCCATTTGCTTTAACTACTTTCCATTCAAGAGCAAGTTTCAGAGTCTCTTCTGACATCCATTTTGGTATTTTCTTCCTTTCCTGTTTTTTTAAATGACCATTTGCTTTCTTCATGTATGATGTTCTTGAAATTATCCCATAATTCTTCTGTTTTTCAGTCACTGGTGTTCAATGTATCAAATCTGTTCTTTAGGTGGTCTCTAAATTCAAGTGTGATGTAATCAAGGTCATATTTTGGCTTTTGTGGGCTTGTTTTAATTGTCTTCAGCTTCAACATGAACTTTCATATGAGCAGTTGATGGTCTGTTCCACAGTCAGTTCCTGACCTGGTTTTGTTGTTGTTGTTATGTGTGTCGAGTCAGACCGACTCACAGTGACCCCTCCTTGGGTTTCCGAGGCAGTATCACTATGGAAGTAGATTGCCCCATCTTCCTTCCAAGGAGTGGCTGGTGGGTTTGAACCGCCAGCCTTCTGGTTAGCAGTCAAGTGCCTTAGGCACTATGCTACCAGAGACCTGGTTTTAGCTGAAGATATTGAGCTTCTCTGTTGCCTCTTTCCACTGATACAGTCGATCTGGTTCCTGTGTATTCCATTTGGTGAAGTCCACATGTATAGCTGCCGTTTATGTTGTTGAAAAAAGGTATTTGCAATGAGTAAGTCATTGGTCTTGGGAAATTCTATCATGCAGTCTCTGCATGATAGTCTCTACATGGTCATTTCTATCACCAAGGCCATATTTTCTAACTCCTGGTGATTCTTCTTTGTTTCCAACATTTCCATTCCAATCAACAGTAATAATCAACACATCTTGATTTCATGTTTGGTCAATTTCAGACTGCAAAAGTTCGTAAAATTTTTCAATTTCCTTGTCTTTGATGGTTGGTGTGTTAATTTGAATAATAGTAGTATTAATTGGTCTTTCTTGTAGACATATGGATATTGTCCTATTACTGACAGCATCATACTTCACGATAGATCTTGAAACATATTTTGTGATGATGAATGCCATGCCATTCCTCTCCAGTTTGTCATTCCTAACATAGTAGATCATATGGTTGTCTGATTCAGAATGGCCAAAACAAGTCCATTTCAACTCACTAATGCCTAGAATATAGATCTTTATGCATTCCATTTCATTTTTTACAACTTCCAATTTTCCTAGATTCATATTTTGTCCATTCCATGTTCCAATTATTAATAGATATTTACAGCTGTTTCTTCCCATTTTGAGTCATGCCATGTCAGCAGATGGTTGTCCCAAAACCTTTACTCCACCCATGTCATTAAGGTCAACTGTACTTTGAGGAGGCAGCTCTTCCCAGTTGTATTTTGAGTCCCTTCTGACTTGAGGGGCTCATCTTCCAGCACTACACCAGACAATGTTTCAGGCTTATTCATAAAGTTTTCCAGTAATATACCAGAGAGTGTTTCACTGCTGTTCATAAGATTTTCATTGGCCAATTCTTTGAGAGGTGGATGGCCCCTTTCTTCTTCCAACTGTGTCTTAGTCTGAAAGCTCCACTGAAATCTGTCCACCATGGGTGATCGTACTGGTATTTGAAATACTGGGGGCATAGCCTCCAGCCTCACAGCTATATGCAAGCCTCCATAGTATGAGAGACTGACAGATGAATTGAGGCTGATCAGCTTAGATATGGACTAATATCCATACTAGTTAACGAATTGTCTTCAGTATACTTTATTCTTTTTGATACTATTGCAAATGGAATTTTCTTAATTTTGTTTTTGGAGTGTTCATTGCTAATGTATGTAAACACAATGTATTTTTTATTATCTTATATCCTGCAACCTTGCCGAATTTTATTTTTAGTTCTAAGATATTTTATGGATTCCTTAGTATTTTCTATATGCAGAAGAGCCTGTCATCTGCAAATAGAGAATTTTACTTCTTTTAACACAGATGCCTTTTACTTATTTTCCTTGCCTAGCATTGCCATGGCTAGAACTTGCAGTGAAATGTTGAATAGAAGTAGTGGCAGTGACATCTTTATCTATTTCCTAGCTTTAGGGGAAAAGCATCCAGTCTCTCACTATTACATCTGATGTCAGTTGTGGGTTTTTCATAGATGTCCATTGTCAGGTGGAGGAAGTTCCTTTCTATTCTTAATTTCTTAAATGGTTTTATGATGAAAGGGTGTTGGATTTTGTCAAATGCCTTTTCTACATCTGTGGAGGTGATCCTGTGGTTGGTTTTTGTTCTTTATCCTGCCAATATGGTATATTATATTGATTCATATTCAGATGTTGAACCAAGCTTTCATGGTTTAACTTGGTCATGATGTATAATCCTTTTTCTATATCCCTTGATTCAGTTTGGTAGTATTTTGTTAAGGATATTTGCATCTCATAAATATATTTTGATTCCCATAAACAAAAAAATAAAACAAAAGCCGTTGCCATCAAGTCAATTCTGACTCATAGAGACTCTACTGAACAGAATAGAACTGTCCCATAGGGCTCCCCAGGCTGTAAATTAAATCTTTACAGAAGCAGACTGGCACATCTTTCTCCCATGGAGTGGCTGGCTGATGAGTTCAAATCACCGATGTTTCCTTTAGTAGCCAAGTGCTTTAAGCACTGTGCCATCAGGGCTCCTTATCCACATAAAGATATTTAAAATCCTTTTGTAATAATAGCATCTCTCATTTTCAGAATACGTTATTTTCAGTGGTCTTATAAATGGAATTTATTTCTAGAATAGTCACGGCATTGTTGTTGTTATGTGCCGTCGAGTCGGACCCCACTCATAGCGACCCCTCCTTGGGTTTCCAAGGCAGTATCACTATGGAAGTAGATCGCCCCATCTTCCTTCTAAGGAGTGGCTGGTGGGTTTGAATTGCCAGCCTTCTGGTTAGCAGTCAAGTGCCTTAGGCACTAGGCTACCAGAGTTCCTACTCAAATGCCCTTATCTGATGTCAGCTATCCATCTGGAAACCTCGCCATCATCCGAGTACCCAACAAGATAAGTGGTTTCACTTGTATAATCCAAGAAGATATGTCCACTAACCCTGCAATCCTGGCACTGCTGGATTCCTCTGGCAGAAGTTCTTGCTATCATCCCAATGGAAATGTCTGGTAGGATTCTGAGTTCCTCCGGCTGCCCTATGTGTGTGTATGTGTGTGTATGTAATTTTATTTTTCTTTTTAAATGATAAAAATGGATTTTGGAAGATTTTAGTTGATGTTCTTTAGATAGTAATGTTCAACTCAGGGAAATTTTTTTATGTATTCCATCCCATGTGTTCCTTAGTGGAAAAATCCCAGGCAACTATACAAAACAAAGCTCACCATATTCTTTCTATAAACATATGGACTATACAATTGTAACATAGAGGAAAACAAAAAACTCTAAATAAATTATATTGTCACCCATGGATTTGGGATACAAATCTATGCAGTTTTTCATTAGTAGAGTCTGTGCTCTAATAATATTATACTGCTTCAACTATAGTAATAATTTGCCAATGGACAGCTGCTATAGTGTATTATTATTTTTTTATTTTTTGAAATATGTTCCTACCTAGTAAGCTTCCTGTAGCCAACAGCAACAATAATAACGTACAAACAAACTCCAGAAAAAATTAAAATCCTGGTCCCATTTGATCTGCTAATATACACAATCTACAACCTCATATTATTTTGTTTAACCTGACAAAATGAAATTTGAGGTCTAACTTCACATGTGATGTAAACTTTTCAAGCTCTTCAGAAAGTGATAATTCTCTTCCTTTAATGGGTACAACAATCCCATCTTGAGAAACTCTGTTAGTAGTTTTGACACTTTTGAAACTTTGAACACTGCTGGTACTTGACAAAGTTGAGACTCCTTGAGCCATTTATGTTTTTAGTCCAAAGCACTAGGCTTCTTAGCCAATCAGTTACCACCAGGTATATTGGAAAATTTATACTTTATCTTCAGGGCTCAATAGCAATTCTGTATTATATTGGACCACATGAGGTCAAATGCATTCACTGTGAGTTGAAATCAACTCTACGGCAACTAACAACACTATATTTGTGGGAGCATTATATTAATTGTCATCAGATATTAATTTGTTTCTAGGCTGTTTCCCTCTCTTATAAGCCCCCTACTCACCCACCAATTGAACTCCTGGAAACACTGACATGGTCTCATTAACGCTTTCATAGCATCTTCTATGTGCCTTTCATATAGCAAGTCCACCTTCACTGCTGGACTAAAGTTCTAGAGGGCACATCCTGAATTTTCAACACTACATAGCAGTGCATCTGTATATAGTATAGACTTAAAGAATGTTTATTAAAGTAGTCCCTGCCTTGCAATGTATTCAAGTTACGATGAACCACACTTATGACAGTCCATTTTTTATTGCTTTTGATACGTGTTAATTTTTAGTAATATGTACTACATACAATGTTGCAGTGTGTAATTTGCTGACATTATCATTCTCATGACAACCCCTTAAGACAACTAAAGATAAGATTTCAGAATACACTGATAATAAAGACAATAATAATGAAAACAAACAAAAAAATATTATTTGACTGATGTCAGACGTGAATTACCATGGAGCCATCAGAATGGGCCCTTGTCCTAAGTCAGGGACTACCTATAAACAGATGACTGACTCACCAGGTAATAGTAGCTTAGTACTATTTCCACTTACATTTCAAGATAAAAGTCAATCTCCCCTGTCTCAGATATAATAAACTAATCACCTCAATTTCTTATTTGTGCTTCTGCTATTAGATTACGGCCATTAATCAATGTAGGAAATGTTATCCTTGGAGGTCCTCATGGCCAGTTCTTCTAGTTTATCTAATTTATTGGTTGATTGCTTGGTTGGTCGATTTTAGTTTTATTGTGGTAAAATAGATAAAACAAAAAAAAATGCCATTTTACCCATTTTTAAGTGTACAATTCAGTGATATTAATTATATTTACCATGTTGTGCAACTGTTCATCTAGGTTTTTAAAATATTTTATTATCAAATTAAGTCAATGTCCTAAGTACCCAGACCTGTATCTGTTCTCCTTTTTAAAGGAGAGGTGGTGGTACAAGTTGGAAGAAAGTGAGAGAGTTTGAGAAGGTGATAATTGAGTAGAATAGCTGGTATGCAATGTAGTAAAATGTGGTATTGGCAACATTAAGAGATTGGAAAGGCCCAGTTGGTCTAAATTCTACTTTCTCCTTGGCTACAGAGCTCTTCTCCACAGCAGTGACTTCAGAGAAGATCCCTGAGCCTCAGCTTGCACACACCCAGCCCCACCAAGAGGCCTTCAAGAATAATGCCTGGCTCCCAGTTTGAGGGCACTGTTAGAAAATAACTCCCTTGTATTTTGCCTCCCCCAGAATTTATACTCACTGGTCTTCATTTTAAGGTTCCTGGGAGGTGCAAACAGTTTGTTCTCAGCTACTAACCAGAAGGTTAGTGGTTCAAACTCACCCAACAACGCTACAGAAAAAAGGACTGGTGATCTATTTCTGTAAAGATTAAAGCCAAAAAACCTTTATGGAACAGTTATACTTTGTAACACATGACATTGCTGAGTCAGAATCAGCTCAAAAGCAATAGGTTTGAATTTTTTTTTGTTGTTGTTAAATCTTCATTTATCCCTTTTGTGACCTATGGGCCATATGTCATCCACCAACATTTTCAGCCTCTCAGGTTTCTTGGGAAGGTGCTATTCCAGTTGTAGTACATGCTACCACCTGGCAAGGACATGTACAACTAAGTGAATCTAGAGGAATGGGTCTCACCTGTCACCAGAGGCCACTTGGGACATATATGTCCCACATAATTTTATCAAAATCCATATTACTTCAAAAAAAAATCTTTTTCTCTTGATTTCAGCAAGCCTTCCATTACTGAAAATACAAGGTTTCAACAAAAAATTCAAAGTAGAAAATAATTCAGTCATGAAAGTGTTAAGTAGCTGTCTTCTCTCTTTAGTATTTTAAGATGGCAGGCATAGCCTCCTCTCCTGTATCTCTTTTTTTCCAAGACTAAAAACTCCCTGCCTCCTCTTCATCTTGCCCAGCACATAATTTTCCAGATCCTTTCACCATTCTCATTCCATCCTTTGGACCCATTTTGATTTATCAGTAAAGTCTCTAATTGGACCCCATGTTTCAAATTAATATGGAACTCAGTCATAGTATTATCACTCCTGAGATTACCTAAGGTTCTCCACCACTCAAGTGTTATTGCCTGACATAAATTGTTGCTGCACTTGGTTAGCAAGTAACAAGCTAATTCCAGAACTTAAATGCAATGTTAATATTTGTAATGTTTAATTTCCTTCCTGCCCAGGGTATGCATCAATATCTTAGGAGGTCAATATTCAGATCAAGCAGGCAACAGAGTAAGGGCTTGGAATTGGTCAAGTTCTGTCGCTTCCACACCCTTCGTTTCATTTAAACCAGTGTTTCTGGCTTTGAACAATTATGTTGGAGTTCGCATCTTAGAACAAGATAAAATTTCAATCACTTTTCTAGCAATGGGCCAACAGGCAAGAATCAGCGTAGGAACCAAAGTGAAGGTAGGTACATTTTAAAAAATATTTTAAAGTGTATAGAATAATATAAGCATAGTAACTTTTCCTTGTTGTTATTATTGATAGGTTATACTTGTGCACACTCCACTATCCACTAAAGATTTCAAAATCCAGTGGGAAAAAAAACATAGTAAAAGTTTCGTATGGAACTGAAGTAGCCTTATTATTTGTTTCTTCTTCCTCAGAAATTCTTTTTAGTTCAAATTTGAATCCAAGTAACATTTATCGAGAGCTTAGTCTGTGATTAAGTAGTGCTGCTTTGGAGGTTTGGTTTTGGGATTTTGTACTTACTGTGTTTGTTTTTCTCCATGCTGTAGTAGAAAGTACTAGGCTGACTCAAGAGATCAGGGTTTACATCATGTTCAAGACCAAGGATAAGCCCTGTCTCCTTGAAGAGGCTTCCTACATCTCTTAGTCCTTTGCCCAGTCAGGATTAATCATGCCTTTTTCTGGGCTTTCCACATATTCACCTCTGTCCTTGCACTTGCTGAATTGTGCTACTTTACTTAACTCTATGGCTGCCTTTACTACTGGGTGGTAAACTACTGATTCCTCTTTCCCAGAACCCGGCCCAGGGCATAGCTCAGAGTACACACTGGGAGAATGGCAGTATTGTATGATGGTTAATAACATGGACTACAAGGTTAAGAGACATAGTCTCAGACATCAATTCTGTCGCTTAGCTAACTGGATGAACTTGAGCTTCAGTTCGCTCATCTATAAAATGGAGATGATGATTCCTACCAGACAGATTGTTGGGAAGATTCAGTGAGAATATGAAGCACTAAGCCTAGTGTGTGGCATTGAGTAAACCAAACCAAAACCAAGCTCACTGCTATCAAGGCAATTCCAACTCATAGCCACCCCCTTTAGGTTTCTGAAGCAGTAAAGTCTTCCTTCTTCAGAGTAGCTGGTGGGTTGAACCACCAACCTTCTGGTTAGCAGTCAAATGCCTTAGGCACTACACCACCAGAGTTCCTTTGGCATTAAGTACTCTGTAAATGGTAGTTCAATATAGATGTAGAGAAAGATATGACTAGAGATCTGTGTCTGTGTGTGTGTGTGTGTGGTGACTTTGAACAATTCCCTTAAACTCTGAGGACCTTCATGTAATCAGTTATTAAAGGAAAAGATTGCTTCAAACTACAAAGGTATCTTCCACCTCTAAAAAGGTCTGTACTTTCAAGTATATAGAAATATGATTTCAATATTCTTTACAGTTAGGAATAGCTTGTGAACACAAAAGAGAGCCTCAGATTTAGATATAACTAACATAAGCTAAGGGTCTACAATGTATTAAGCACCATTGTAGCTACTGCTGCCAGATGTTTAGGCTACAATCTTCTTTCTTGGTTAAGCATTTACAATATAGCTTCCTAATAAATGCTTTCTGATTTAAAGCATAAAAATGTGAATGTTTCTCTCTCTGTCTCTCTCTCTGTATCTCAATCTCTCCCTCCCTTTATGCCCTCTTCTGTCTCTCCCTCTTCCTCTCACTCTTGGAAATGAATTTTAATCAGAGTCACTTTGATGCAAAATGAAAAATTCCATGATAAAAGATTTTGCCTTTTAAAAAAATTATACAAGAGATTTGAATATATTCCATATTTAAATATTCAAGCAAAATATAAGGACAGAGAATAAAAAATGAGATTCCCACTTCATCCCTTCTTCTGTTCTAACCCTTTTCCCCAAAGATAATCACCATCTAAAATTTTGTGTATGTTTTTCCCTTTCTGTGTACTTATACATTATTCATATACACTATTTTTAAAATAAAAATTGAGTCATACTATACTAGGTATATAGCTGAAGTTTCTATTTCTTTTTGTTTTCATTTAACAAGTCTTAAAGGTTTTTCCATGTCTAGGAGCGTAACATAGTGGCTAAGACACTTGCCTGCTAACCAGACGGCTGGCGGTTCAAACCCACCAGCCACTCCTCGGAAGGAAGGTTGGGCAATCCTACTTCCGTAGTGATACTGCCTCGGAAACCCAAGGAGGGGTCGCTATGAGTGGGGTTTGACTCAACAGCACATAACAACAACAACAAATTTCAAAGTACATTTGTCTATCTTAGTTTTTAATTGCTGAATAATATTGCCTATGTATCTCTTATTCATGATGATGACAAATTTCCTCAAATATTTGGTGATTCTTAGTTGTGTATTCATTTTTGTATTTGCAAATTTCTGCTTTCCCACATGTTCTACTTACTGCAAGTTGCTTCTAAATTGTGGAGAAGTAGTATCTGCTGTCACCAAAGCCATATTTTCCAACTACCGATGCTGCTTCTTTGTTTCCAACTTTTGCATTCCAGTCACCAGTAATTATCAATACATCTTGATTGCATGCTTGGTCAATTTCAGACTGCAGAAGTTGGTAAAAATCTTCAATTTCTTCATCTTTGGCTTTAGTGGTTGATGCATAAATTTGAATAATAGCAATATTAACTGGTCTTACTTGTAGGTATATGGATGATATCCTATCACCGACAGCACTGTACTTCAGGATAGATCTTGAAAGGTTATTTTAGACAATGAATGTGACACCATTCCTTTTCAATTTGTCATTCCCAGTGTGATTGTTAAGGTTATATCAACTTAGCTGGGCCATGGTTTTGAATGCTCGGCACTGGATATAGTTATTCCACATGATGAGATTGGTAATCACCTCCATTGTGGAATCTGCTATGAGCAGTTAAGTAGCTGCCTTCAGGTTGTAGCCTACTTCCAGTATATAAGAAGCAGCTTTGAGAAAGGTCACTAGCTTTTGGCACATCCGGATCTTGCATTTGGCCAAGTCTTCATCTCAGTGGACTGCCGATCTTGGGATTATTTCTGGACTTAAATTAGTGGCCTGCTGTGTTGTGTGCTAATCTTGGGACTGTGCCATTTTACCTGTTCATGGTGGGTATGTCAGCCTCAGCAGCCAGCAGCTGCATAAGTCAGAAAAAGCCTCCAGCTCTATTAGGCCTGGACAGGAGGCAGGGCTAGCACTTTGAACTCAGATTTCCAGCCTCCTAAACTGTAAGAGAATAAATCCCAGTTTGTTAAGACATCCATTTTGGTATTTCTGTTATACTAGCACTAGAGAACAAAGACACTGGCATAGTAGACTATATGATTGTCTGATTAAAAATGGCAAATACCAATTCATTTCAGCTCACTAATACCTAGTATATCAATCTTTATGCATTCTGTTTAATTTTTGACAACTCCCAATTTTCCTAGATTCATACTTTGTAATTCCACATTCTAGTTCTTGCTGAATGTTTGCAGCTGTTTCTTCTTATTTAGAGTCATGCCCCATCACCTAATGAAAGTCTAGAAAACTTTATTCCATGCACTTCATTAAGCTCAACTCTGCTTTGAGGAGGCAACTCTTCCCCAATCATATTTTGAGTGCCTTCCAACAGGAGGGGTTCATCTTCCAGCAGTATATCAGATAATGTTTCACTGCTATTCATAAACTTTTCCAGTAATATACCAAACAGCATTTCCCCGCTATTCTTAAGGTTGTCAGTGGCCAGTTTTTTCAGAAGTGGATAGCCTCATCCTTCTTACCAGATTGTCTTAGTCTGGAAGCTCCGCTGAAACCTGTCCACCAGGGGTGACTCTTCTGGTACTTGAAATACTGGTGACATAGCTTCCAGACTCATAGCAGCATATAAGCCACCACAGTACAACTGATATGGGGGGAGTGGTGGCCTTGGTGACAGAAATGACACTGGAGATCCCTTGATAGAATTTTGTAATAACTTATTCATTGCAAATACCTTTCTTCAACAACATAAATAGAGGCTACACACATGGACTTCACCAGGTGGAATACTTAGGAACCATATCTAGTACATCTGAGGAAAGAGACAATGAAGAGGCTCACTATTATCAGTCAAAACAAGTCCAGGAGTGGACTGTGGAACAGACCATCAATTGCTTATATGCAAGTTCAAGTTGAAGCTGAAGAAAATGTTTAAAACAAGTCCACTGGAGCCAAAATATGACCTTGATTATATCCCACCTAAATTTAGAGACCATCTGAAGAATAGATTTGACACACTGAACACCAATGACTGAAGACCAGCTGAATTTTGGGATGACATCAAGAACATCATACATGAAGGAAGCAAAAGGTCATTAAAAAGAAAAGGAAGAAACAACCAAAATGAATGTCAAGAGACTCTTACACTTGCTTTTGAATGGAGAGTAGCTGAAGTGAATGGAAGAAATTACTAGATAAAAGAGCTGAACAGAAGATTTCAAAGGGTAGGTCAAGAAGACAAAGTAGGTCTTTAAGACTAGTCATACTTGGGACTTCCAGTAAGATGGAGGAATAGGCAGACAAGTGACACAGACCCTCTTCAACAAAGAAAAGAAAAACCAATTGACAGAGATACAGAAGATAATCCTGGAACCCTGAACTTTGAAAGGAGTTATACAGAAGTGGATTAGGCACCAACTAGTGGAAAAACCTGAACGAAAACAGTGAGTACAGAGACAGTCAGAGCTGTGAACTATCAGCTACTCTGACGAGACCAACAGCCTGAATATTTCCAAGTAGTGTTGGGACCTGAAAATTTACCCAAAGATCAGTCCTGGTCACCAAGGGCTCCAGGGATGACAACTGCTCTGGTGGCCTGTGACTAGGAAGGGAAACAACAAGGAGGGAGACAACCTGAGCTGTTGACTTTCTGCTGTCTGGAGGATGCAGCCATTTTGACTGTTTACACATGACAGCCATTTTGGATATTTAAAGTGACCGAGGGAGCTGCCATTTTGAATGTATACAAGTGGCAACACTTTTGGATTTTAAAGTGATAGCATTCTCATTTGGATTCCAGGGACCTAAAAACAGGCTCTGTTTGCCAGTGTCGGCAAGGACATACGTGGTTGACAAAGGAATGGAGACAGGTGGTGAGTATATAAGTGCTGTCAACTAGTGAATAGAGGAGCACAGCACAGTACCCTGCCTGTATAGATAACT